CCTTTATAATGCTTCCGTTAATTATTTATTTATTGTAGATATATGATTTCATAATTTTTTCCGAGACCCTCCCTCGACTCTCGAGAACATCTTTGCGATCCTACTTAGGCCGCGAGCCAGTGTTTGGGAACCACTGCTGTAGGTAATCGAACTGTCAATATATTGGAAATATCTCCTGCCTTTGATAGGTAAATTGTTGCATAAGCGAGTTAAACTGACTTTAAAGTGTTGTCCGCAATTTTAATCTTTAATCTTGTCTATGAATTGCCTTCCTCTGTACGAAGAAACGGTGGCATGATTAAGGGATTTAGACATGTTTTCTTGTAGGATTTATGCAAGAGGTGGAGGCATTTTATCGTTCTTTCTCCGTTTGTAATCATAGAAAACTTCTCATAACCCGGACTGACTTAAAAGGCATAAGGGGTTCGCTAACCTTTTTCGCCCGAGTCTCGTTAGTGAGCCGTTTATAAGTCCACAGTAGGCTTGCTTTTCTTCATACTTCGCCATTTCTACACAGCCTTATTGCGACCTTTGCCAGGTCTACTCAACGACGATTTGTAGTCGATAGTAAGATCACTGAATACATTTGAAACAGTTTGAAAAGAACCTCCTTTGAATGTGGTTACATTTAACGATGTTCCTAAAATTGGTCCGGCCAGTTTCAGTATAAGCAGGCCTCGTTTCGTTATACATAAAAATCGTAGAGTGGATTTGTTCAGTTTTTTGGAACTGAAGCAGTGAAATTGTTCCTGTCACCTGGAAATCTGACTGAAATACAAAATATGTATTGGTCGTACTAATGACGTAGTAATGACTTTCTTTGTGTTTTATCGCGATAAAGGATGAACAGCCAGAAGGCTGTCATCTTGCAGCCCAAGAGTGGATCTGAGCGTTTTGTTCCAGAAGCAGTAAGAACAAATGCTAGCCGTCGAGGCTGATGATGCGATATAGATATTTTGATGAAACCTGAACGACTCTTGTACAGCTTTTTGTAGCAAAGGGGCTTAGCGTAAAATGACAGGTGGTCATCTGTACTCGCGGAACTTGCCGTTCGGTTCATCCGGCGATGTGCTCCAACAGCAACGTCTGTTTTTTGCTGCATGTCCGTAGGTAATATGTTAAATTCGCTTGATATTAAGTCAAATTGATTAATAATGCGCGAGCTGTTTTTAATCGATGTCATTGTAATGACCTGAGGCCTGACTTTTGGCTAAGATTTTTTTCCACTCTGCTGCGAAACGCTGTCGTGTTGTCGTCTGTCTAGTACGGTAGAGACTGGCCGTCGTAGGCGAACTTGAAACGACTACAGACAACTTGGTGGCCATATGGACGAATGGTTAGCCGCGTTTAAGCAACGAACTACCGTACACACAGCAGCACATTTTACCGATTCTTCCAAAAGCAGATGATTTACCGGGAATTTCCCAGGTTTCCCAGCTGACGGCGGGTACCGTAGGAAAACATAAGGTCCTTGGAAGTCACTGTAAGTGTTTGCTGACACTGCATAGGTCCAGATAAGGGTGCTGTTTATGCTATGATATTTGCCGTGCTGCCCTTTGTTCTCCTATTCTCCCGTCTGTAGAAGCAGGACATATGGTTGTCATAAATCAGAGGCGATAACGTTCTGCAGAAACCAAGAAAACTTTAAAGTGGACATAACGAAATCGAAGCTGTGTACGCGGCCTAGCCGGCGTAAGGCGATTGTGTCTGTGGCTTCGATGGACGTTTCTGTGATTACGCCGCACTGCGCCGGTTCATTCTATGATTTCTTTCTTTCAACGTCATTCGACCGACCAGCATTGCATTCTGTTTGGTCGGTTAGTCGGTTCGAATTAGTTATCCGGTCAGCGCGACAGTTTCGCCTGCACTTCACGGTAAATGTCTCCATTATTTGATATTTTTAGTTTTTCATACGGAGTACATATTACATATCTGTGTAGAACAACCACATGAAAACCATGAAATTAATCTCTTAGGTAGCAGAACAATGTTCACTTTGTAAGTTTGGAATGCATATTGAAATTTGGACCAGTGTTTTGCTCGAATTATGCATGTAGGAATCCCTGTCCCCGTTGTTTCGTCTTCCTGAAAATTTGAACCGCCATCGTTAAGACCAGAGATTATATATTCATCAAGAAACTCAAAATTGCAGAAACCGTTAGCGCGGACGACACTGCTCAAAATTTATTGAATCTGACGACTTAACAATACTTATTGCACTGCATGGCATCTGTTCGATGGACGTGTGGCATTGCATAAAAGTTGTCACGTGCAAACGTATTAGTTTTTGTGTAAGCCGTATAATCAGGAATTCGGTCGGCCATTACTCCTGTGTTTCGTTGATTACGTCAAAGGATTTGATTCTATGAGGCATACAGAAATTTGGGATACAATGTTGAACATGGTAATTCGCCGCGCCATTCAACCTCGGTTAATACTGTGCTGTAGGCAGCTAGCTGCAGTGTCGGTCACAGACTTTCAGTTCCACTGATTCCCTGCCAACAAGAAGATTCTTCAGGGCTACTTCTTGTCACTGAGGTTGTTCACTTATGTAGTGAAGTTGCAATGCTACCGGCGCTGAACGATTCAGTACTAGCGAAAAATACTGTAGTCTAATCATACCAACGCGTCTATGTCATATACGAAAATCGTTTCCAGTACTATCTGCTCATCAGGACAGCGTCAATTGCGCGCTTATTTCTAATGGTCAAACAATAAATTTGGGTTACTCTGCTGTTTAAGCTCTGTTAACCTTTGTTGATGGTGACGTAACACTGAAAACAACTTTATATCCATGTCCACAAGTTACGTAGTAATTTATTTTTGCTTGCGCCTTCTGTGCCGAGCGAGGTCTTTGTCTTTTTTCCATCATCACTGTATCAAACGAGAATTTCCATGGCAGAGTTGAACACCACAGGCAGGTGCGTCTCCCTTGCAAGTTCCACATTAACAAAGGACCACTCAGATGTTCTTTATTAAACTTTAAAGATAACCGTAGTTTTTTCTGCATCCCTTTCAAAGTGGGCACAGTATGCTCTGATATCACATAATGACTTAAGGAGTTTCATATCACTGGGCGATATACTGAATACCTCAAGAGTTACCTTAAGGCTTTAATGTCAGTGAAAGTGGCGTACAAAGATAACTGCTAATGCCCTACCATTTATTGATCAGTCATTGACTGAATCCTGTGTTTCTGCGGAAAAAACGTAGATCATAGGTTACCGGGCAGTTGTCGGTTCAGGCTCGTATTCACCTTGTATTCGCACGATTTTCAGATGAAGCCAGTTTGTCTTATTGTCAGACTAACACTTTTAGTGCTTTCGCTTTTTACTGCGTAGCAAAAGACTCGTTGCGATGTGACAGTCGGAACAATTTCTCTTTTTGTCATTTCTTTGTAAAGAATGAACTGTTTAAATTCTTCAATATCTTTTGCGTTATTACGAACTCAGTTGAAAGCTTGTCACATTCCCTTGAGTGGGTTTAATCAAGTAATAGGAAGCTGGAAACTTGGAAAATTTTTCTTTTGTCTTGCAGTTAGGTTTCTTCACCTTTTGACAATCGTTCAGGTATTTGAGCCAACCGTAGTTCCGATTCTTGTGTGACGTTTTTGGTTTTCGTTTCGAACCTGGGGGTTTTCATGTCTTTTTTTCATCTTGTTATGGCTTTTGCAGGTTTGTCAGTTTCATTAACGAGTTGAACAAACCTCGAATGAAGATCGCCCCGGCGCATAAAACACTGACTAAGGTATGCTTGAACGCTGGCTTTGCTCTCTTCAGCAGCATTGTTGCAGATCGGTGTTGCGAAATGGGTGGTCAGTGCGCGTAATTTGGCGGTACACGGTCGCATGCCCGGTCTGACGGCCCTTCGCGATTCTTTCGAATCTTGCTGGGACTGGATACTGGTATTAACTTCGCACAACAGTCATATGCTTGTTCCGGTCACTAATGCGTT